CAGTGAAAGTCAGCCGTGGCGTGTAGATGGTAATCTGAGCTGGGCACCACAGGACTGGGAGGAATTGGCAGGAGGAGCAGGACGTTGATCATGATATACAGGCCGTCTTTGTAAGAGTGACGTGACTGATGCCAAGGCTTTAAAAAGACCCATCTGATTAGTTTTTCTCTTTTAAAAAAAAAAGTAGAAAAACTTTTGGGGTAGAAATGCATTTTGGAGTTTCTGAAGCAGTTTCATTGTATCTCTAAGATGAAGGTAATATTTCAAGAGGTTTTCCTTCAAAATTATTCTTAGATTTTATCTCAGAAATCATAGTGGTCCCTTTCACCATTTCGGATCTCAGTCTACTGTGGGTTTTCCATATTTAAATGCATAGAATTTTAGCACTGTGCGAAATGCTAGAAGTCACATGAGCCTAGGCCAGCCCCAGCCCCTCTCCAGATGAAGAAAACAAGTTATTGAAATGACCTAAAGAAATTGGCACTCACATCTGGACACAGTATTTTCCACTACTATATTGACTGTCTTTTCACTTAATGCAGTCCTGAATTTGAGTGTTTTTATGTTTACATAATGAAACTAGATGTAAGATTCTTTATGGATTTAAATGTTTTACTCTCTGTAAGACTTATTTTTGAGTCTCCTTTTTTTCTATTCATTATGCTAAAAGAAAAAGATGCTTTTAAAGCACCTTTGGTAATTTATGAAATACGAATACATAGGAATATAAATAATTTGTAAGTTTGAAATTTGACAATACAGTAGAACTCAAGAACTCACCACCCAGCTTAAGAATTGCAACTCTACACAGCACAGCAGCACATGACTGTGATCCCAGCACTCTGGGTGGCTGAGGCAGGAAGACCAAGCAAGCGTTCAAGCCCAGCCTGGGTAATATAACCACTTGAGACCTTGCATCAAAATAAAGACTGTAAAATGGGCTGGAAGATAGCTCACAGCAAAGGCCCTGTGTGTAGTCCCCAGTCCCACCAAAAGATTCCAGCAGGAGGCCTTGTGTGAATCTTACCTATAGCTCCCCATGGTCCTCCTGCAAGCCCACAGTGTCTTGAGAGTGGCTGTGCCATTCTCAAAACTTCATGAAGACATTTATCTGCTTAAGAAATTCTTCTCTTAAATGAAACTTAAGTTTGTGATGGATGTGGTTTTGACAAGTGGCTTTTATGTATCTCTCGAGATTTTTTTTCTTTAACCAATATGAATTATATTAATAAAATTGCTAAGTTCATATTTGTTGGATAAACTCAAATTTTAAACTGATTTTCATTGCTTTTATATTGACCAATTCCATGTGGTCATAAATCTTTGAGGGCTTTTGCCTTTTTTCATGAAGGAGGCTAGTTTTTCTTTTTCTTTCTTTTTTTTTTTTTTTTTTTTTTTTTT